AGGTCCCTTCTGACCCTACCAACTATGAAACTATGAATATATATAAAGTTAAATGGAAACTGTACTTATGCAGGTAGTGGTCTTTGGGCAGGGTTTCTGCAGCAAGTTTGCCAGAGTCTTGAGGGCTTGGATATAATTTAAAAACTGACTAAAACAATAAAGCCCAGAATTAAATGCTCTTGGAATGACTTCCCATCACTTTTCCTAACATTTTGTACTCGCTCTTCAAGAGAGTTTACCTTCATTTTTCCTGTTCAGGTCTCTTGCTGTTTTCCTTGTATCATTTTCTAAGTGATAATGTTTTAAGCTGTACTTCACATACTTTTCTGTTGGTCTCCTGTAGTACAACTTCTTTTTCTGTCCTCTTTATTTGCATTTAAATTTTACTTTCTGTGCCTTCAATCTGAGCTTCCTTTTTTCATTTTCCTTCAGGATCACATCCCCCAGCTCAGCCCATCCCAATCATTTTTGTGTTTGTCTGTCTGTTTTCTATAATGCCTATAAATGTGGGAGCAGAGGTTCTTCCCATTTGCTTTTTAGTCCTCAAAGGATCCAGAAGCACTTCCTGAACAGAGGTAGTAAATCAGTAGTAGGCTTCTATAATACCTCTGTGTAGTCTTTTTGTTAACTTGGGATTCCTTTCTGAGACCAGTCTAGAGTCTTGTATCAGCCAGGAAGAGATGCTGATTGCTGTGAAACAGGCAAAGTTTGAGAGTAACTGTACTGTGTATAGCATCTGAAGAGAACATTTGCTACAAAAGGGATCATTGCTGCTTTGCAGCAGTGCCTTTTGAATTTATTATCAGGTCACTGTAACTGGCTCCACTTACAGAAACTGAAGTCAAAGAAACTGTTTCTAATCAATGTTCTTGTGACTGGTGGAGAGTGTGGGAGGGAAACTGTCTATGGTAGAACTGAAAGAATGTGTATGCTGTAGGGCCAAAATTTCATGATTCCCTTCAGAAGGCAAGTATGCCTGATGAGTGCTCTCCATTGGTTTGGTTTGGTTTTTTGTGGGGGGCTCAGAAGCAGCTTTTGAGGATTGATGGAGTTCTTTGTTTTTCGTAACAGCTTTGGTGTATGAAATGTTGGGAAGGGACAGAAGTAACATTCTGACTTTTGCTCTTTGTGTGACTGAAATGAGCACCATAGCTATTACTGAGAGAGCAAATCACCACAATAGCCTAATCAGTTTTTTTTTTCTTCTTTTTTTTTCCAAACATAATTGTCCAGAGATTAAATGCTTTTTGAAATCCAAGGTGTGATTTCTTTTTGCTTGGAAGAAAAACTGTCTACAAAGGGGTCAGTTGTGAGCAAATTAAATAGGCCAGTGACTGAAGGGATGACCTGTGGAATTAAGGCCAAGTGTATATTAGAGGTGTGAGCAGAACAGCTGGCTGACATTTCACCAGACAGTGGGAGCAAAATTGGGACTCATTACATTGGCTACTGTGGGGGCTACTGGAACACCCTAAAGAATAGAGCCACTTAATCTTGTACAGAAAGCTTAATAGGACATCAGCATGTTTTGCTAATATGGAGGGATTGCTTAGAAGGTTCCTGGAGTAAGGCATTCTGGTATTCAGACTTTTTAAATGATTTAATGCAGCTAACTGGAAGTCATTGTGAGAGGTTTTGGGTTCGCGTAAGCAAAGGTTGTAGATAACCTGTTTCCTAATAGGGAATGATTCAGCTATAAATTCAAGCAGTGGCAGAGAATGTGAGCTGTAAGTATCATGTAATCCTAATTTTTTATGACATGGCAGACAGAAAAATCTGTTTCTTTATTCATGCACTAAGATCATATGCAGCACTGTGCCTAATGACTCAAATTTGCCTGCAGTACTTATCACTTCTGAATGTCCAAAGTAAAAAGGTTTGGGATAACATTGTATATGTCTTGATCTTCTAGCAGAGTTTATATATGGGTATTTAGGAAAATGGGGGAATTAAGTAGCAAGTGGGTCATTCTGTACTCATTGGGTCTATCAGGTTGCCACTACCTCTGTATTCCTGCAGCTGAATTCATCTCTGTCTTTAGAGCCTGTAAAGATGGCCACTGCATTTCCCTAAGGTAGTGATTCTCACTTGGGAGGTTGCAGCACCCTGGGTTAATGTGAGATCCTTAGGTGATACACAGTTCGCACTGTTAGGTGTACAAACATCTGCATGATTCACAAAATAAATCCAGGGATTTCAAATAGGAATCCATAATGTCAAAAACATTCCGACTGGTTGTGTTCTTTCTGAGTTATTTACAACAGAAGACTTGTTCTATTTTTTAATTTTTTTATGGCGAAAAATGTGTGAAATTCGGTTTTTGAAATGGGGTGCTACTAAATTCAGAAAATGTATGGAAGTGGCCTTGAGTCTATGAAGGTTGGGAGCCACTGCCCTAAGTAGGGGTGCAACAGCAGAGATTTTTTTGGGCCGATACCGATAGCCAATTTTTAAGGAGGCATATTGGCCCATACAGAACCAATATCCAATATGCAGCTCAGCAGCTTGGAGAACAGTGTCCGGCTGTTAAGTCTGTTGTGGTGAAAGGGGAGGAAGAAGGGAAGGGCTAGGGGAAGGGGGACGACATGCAGATGAAGGCCCCTGCGGTGAGGGAGGGAGTGGGGCAGGCGCTGCTCAGCCAGGATGGGGCTGCAGCTTGTCTGGGGGGGCTCCCACTGCTACGTGCATCCTGGGAGTGCATGGGGGCGTGCCTCAGGATCTGTGGGGCAGGGCTGGCTGGCATCTGGAGTAGCACTGGGCTGTTCCTGGTGGGGGCTGGGCTGGGCTGGGCTGCACTCAGGGCAGAGTGGGCAGTGGTGCTGGTAAGGAGGCTACAGGGGGATCTATGGTGAATTTTGGGGTGGCTGCAGCCCCCCCAACCCCCTCTCAGTGCCACTGCATATGCCCTGAGAGCGCAGCCTGGCCCAGCCCCCCACTGGGAAGAGCCCGGTACAGCACCAGCCCACAGCGGCAGTCTGTCCCGCCCCATGCAGTTCTGGGGGCACCCGCCCCTCCAGTGCCCTCTGCAACAGACTTACCAGCTGGATGCAGCTGCCAGGCTGCGCTCCTGGCCCCATGCATGCTGCAGCTGCGCACACACATGGGACATTTATTGGCCACTTTATGAGCTGCATCAGGCAAAAAAGCCAATTTCTGATGTAATCAATTTTATTTATAGCCATGCCAATCCAATATTGGACTAATGTATCGGTGCACCTCTAGCCCTAAGAGGGTCATTCCTTATTAGGAAGGGGTAGAGAACAAAGTTGCAGGGCATGTAGGTCTTGGCTCCAGCAGGCTTCTGTCTCTTTCCAGTGCAGAGCAACAGAAATAAGTTGGAAATTGGTTTCTCTTCAGCATGTGTAAAGGCCAAAATTTGCTGATCGGCTCTCTGGGCTGAGCCCTGTGGGTGTGCTATAGAGCCAGAGGCTGGAAAGGACAGAAAAAGAAGGGCAAGGAATAAGAATACAGAGACCGAGGGAGAAGTAATTAGAGAAGGCAATGGTATAAAATGGATTAAAGGAGGGAGAGAAAGAAAAAGTGAATAATAAAATCATAGAAAGAGACTGTGTATAATAGAAAAATGAATGTGAAGAAGAGCAAAAGGATCACAATAATAGATTAATACTTTAAGAACTTTTTTCACATCAAGTGACTAAAAGAGAGGCAGAAGACAGACCAAGGTAGCACCTCACAGAAGGTGTCACCATGCCCTGTCTTCTGCCTCACTTTAAACTATAAAGCCTCTCTGAGCCTATTGGATAGGGTGGGATATAAATCAAATAAAGAACACAGCTAAATACCTCTCTGAGACAATTAAATTTGTATAGCTAGAGTACCCTGGCTATCTGAGTAAAACTGTATCTACAGACTAAGTGATGGTAGTTTTGGTGAAGAAAGTTTTCTGTTTCTTCACCTGATGGGATCAGTCCCATCTCTGAATATTCTGAAACGGTCTTTACAAGAGTTGATGTTAATCCTGAAAAATAGCTTCACAGGTACCAGTGCAAGACCTTTCACTTCTCCAGTTAGTTGGTGTATTTGATATTGTATAGTTTTGTCCAAAGGTTACCTCCTAGATCAGTGCCAGCTGTGCTGTAACCTGACATCCCCTGCAGCAGGAGGGCATACAGACATATTTAGATTTAAAACTATTGACTTTCTAACTAATAGGAGCATATATTTGCGGGTCCTGGCTCTTTACTTGGATTTCTGGTACTGCTGTAATACAAATAAATAGTTAGTAACCAGTCTCGAGACTAAAGAAGTATGAGAATCCTCTGATTTAATACCCTAAAATGTGGCACTCAGATGTTCCCTGAGAGCTGGTTGCACATATAACCCATTTGTGAAATGCACTGGATGCTTTGCTGGAAAATGTAAAGAGCACTGATGATTTATTTTAACACACAGTAGTACTCAGTGCAGGGTTGTTTTGTGGTAATCTAAAGGTGTCTCCAACCGTGGTGTTGTGAGTCTCTTGAAAACTTGATGCTACACTTGAAAGTTGAAACAATGAGCAAATGAAGTGTTTGAAGGGGTTCTTGTCAAGCTTTTAATGCTAAAGTCAATTTTTGTCTTCTCTTTCTATTTTAGATTATATCTGTTAAATGCCACGTGACATTTTCTAATGCTCTAGAGCCTGTGGATCTCATGCGTTCTGAAATGTAGATTGTCATCTTTGTTTGAATCCTATTCAGTTTTGTGATGCAAGTTTTGACTCTCCCAGCCACATATGCTCTTAGAGTCTAATTCTTTGCTTTTCCTTTCCTAGTCCAATCTGAATCTGGTTGTGCCAGTGTAGTGTCTGCAGCCCCCTGCCTGGCAGAACCACAGCAATATGAAGTACAGTTTGGACGACTACGCAATTTTCTCACAGGTGAGTGGCTGGAGGAAGGTAGTAGCTTATTGACAGATGAGCAGTATGCATTTTTTGCTTCCTTTACAGTATACGTTTTTAGCATGTTCGCTCTTTTTCAAATGGGCGATTTGCATCTGAGGGCACTTTTACACGTGATGTGGGGGTGGTGTGGGCAATGCTTTAATTGGAGCCAGCTCCAAGAGCCCCTCTAATGAAAGTGCCTCCGCGTCTCATGTACCAGCCTCCCTGCACTTAAAGAGCAGCAAGGGTGCTTGAACTAAAGCTTGTTTGAGCTTTAGTTCAAGCATCTCTGCCACCGTTTTTAAGCATGGGGACGCTGATACACGAGATGCAAGAGGCTGCTGCAGCATGGCAGTTGCCACACTCCGGCAGACTCGATTAATCAAGTGTGCTCCAATGCTCTGGAATTCCAGTGCATCAGAGCAGCCTTCCATCTCATGTATAGGCACCCTAAAAGACCTGATTTCTGGATTTCTCTATCTTCATTGAGTAAAAAGACATCTTAAAATTAAAATGATGTTTCCAACTTGAAATCTCTTACCTATTTTTAAAGGTAAAACTAAGGATTTAGTTTATAACTGAAGGATCATTATATTTTTCAGTGTGTTTTTGAGCACAGCCATTTAAACAGTTCCCCTTTGCCTAAGTCAGCTTGCCTTCATGTTTGTGTAAATCTTTCACATAACAGCCAGAGAGAAGGAGAGAGGTTTTTTTTATTGTAATTTTTGCTTTGTTTTGTTGTTTTTCTTTTAAATGTCATTTCAAAACCATACAAATTGCAGATAAGTTGGAGGCAGGTGCAGTGCTGTTGGGTTTTTTTTAATTATTATTATTCCTTTTGTCTATCCTGTGATAAGTGATTATTTGAATATACTTTTGACTTTTTTTATGGACTGTACAGATTTTTAAGACAAATTTTGCCCCATTAAATTTACCTGAGTTTTTTGTTCCAAGATGTTTGTCATGGGTTATCCCCTTCATGGTTTGGAGGAAAACCCTCTAACTCTGCCTACTCTAGGATGAATAATCCTGATGAGATTTAATGGAAGGATAGTAGGGAACACTTCCCATCATAGCTCAACTGGTAAGGACTGTTTTGGTCTATAACCTTATCCTGACCATCAGTGGTACTAATAGTATGAAACTTCTCTATGCCCTATTATGGTTTGGAGGGTTAAGATACCACCAAGAAGCACGGGTGGTCTTTGCATGATGGCAGTTGAACTTGGCATGTTAGCAACCTTTTGGGAAGAGTCAAGTGTAATTTTCCTAGCACTTCATTGTCTGAGGCCCAGAAGGGCTATTTTAGCCAGCTTTCAAGGCCCTGTCCATTACAGTCCCCCTTTCTGTCCTCTGGCTTCGGTCTTGATTTTACTTGCCTGCATCCCCTCTTCCCTCACTACATGCACGCTTGTGCATCTATGGGATGTATGAAGCCAGCAAGCCTCAAGAAGCTATTTCATGTTGCCTGTGGCCCTGAACAATTGCTATTGCACCTTTCCCAGCAATCCATCCCTGAGGAGCTCAGCAGTTTGTCCTTTGCATCATAGCCGACCTCCAGCCTCTTTTTTTCAGAGAGATCCTGCCTCTCATTGCACTTTTTGAGGCGTGGGAATGGAACCAGCACACTTGCACATGGCTTGATCTCTCGGTGCCTGTTGTAGAATTACTAAGCAGTTGCCTGTGTCCTGGATAAGGAGAGAGGATAAGGCTTGAGAATGTTATGAGGGAGAGACAGATGGAGAGGCAAAGCGCAGGGTGGAGCAGGAAAAGTACTGTAAGACCATTTAATAAAGGAAGAAGGAAATAACCCAGTGGAAAGGGAAAGAAATAAATGAGGTATGGGGAAGTAAGACAAGGGAATCGGGAAGTAAAAAAAGAGGGGTGACAAGAAAGACTTGGGTATAACTCTGATTAATACATGCATGCCGTTTCATTAATTGGAACGTTTTGGGCTGTGAACCACCCCTGGCTGCCTCTCTTCCCTGCCAGGGTTTGTATAGCCCTGCTTTCTGCATGTTAAGGCTAGTGAGAGGAAATCAGCTCCAAGAAGATGGTGAAAGGGGGTGGAGCTGTGAGGCAGATTAGTCTTTTAAAGTAAAGTGTATCCTAAACAGTTCATTAGACAGTGTACTAGGAATTACTGTTGGGATTTGCTTTGGCCAAGAGAGAGAGCAGGCACAGGAATAAATCCGAAGCACAACATGTTACAGCTACATTTCAAAAGCCAACTGTTAGTAAGTTTGTTCTCTGCCACGGAAAATCCATTCCAGGCAGTTAAAAGCAGCAAATACCGTTTGTGCTGTAGTTGAAGAAAAACTCAGCCAGACGTCTAAATAAAAGCATTTGCCAGTTTGACTTATGCACCAGGCTTTTGCAATGTTTAAATGCATTTCTAAACAAATGGTGTTCTTACAGGGGCAGTTGTTTCAGTAAACAGAGCTTTTAAAATAAATTTTTTCTTTTAATCAAAAAGAACATTTCAGCTGACACATGGCTTATGGTGTGTGCTCTACAGTATGGGCCTTAATTGAATATGGTGGTAGTAGCACAAGTGTAGGGGCTTCCTAGCTGAGTTGTGTGTTGAGAGTCCCTGCCACAGAGCTGAATTTTTTTTTTTTTAATCAGAGGTGAGATATTCTTTACATTTCCTTCAGCAATGCTAACAAAAGGCCAGACACTTGTGTGTAATGGCACTGAAGATCACTTGAATGAATTTCCCTTGCGTTTTCCTGCCTTATGTTTCCTGCAGATAATTGTTGGGGAGAAATCATAATGCATGTTGTTACCTGTTTCAATTCAGATTCAGATTCCCAGCACAGCCATGAAGTGATGCCTCTTCTGTATCCCCTCTTTGTCTACCTCCATCTTAACATGGTCCAGCACGGCCTAAAGAGCACAGTGGACAGTTTCTACAGCCGCTTCCATGGCATGTTCTTGCAGAATGCCAGTCAGAAAGATATCATTGAGCAGTTGCAGACTACCATGACTATTCAAGATATCCTGTCCAACTTCAAGCTCCGGGCTTTTCTGGACAACAAATATGTCATCCGTCTTCAAGAGGACAGCTACAACTACCTTCTTCGCTACCTCCAAAGCGACAACAACAATGCTCTTTGCAAAGTTCTTACCTTGCACATTCACCTGGATGTGCAGCCTGCCAAGAGGACAGACTACCAGCTTTATGCCAGCGGCAGCTCCTCGCGCAGTGAAAGCAATGGCCTGGAACCTGCCGACATGCCTACTTCCATCCTGCAGAACGAGGCAGCGCTGGACTTGCTGCAGGACAGCATTAAGAGGGTCAGGGATGGCCCCCCTTCCTTAACCACCATCTGTTTCTATGCCTTCTATAACACAGAGCAGTTGCTGAACACGGCCGAGATCTCACCAGACAGCAAGCTGCTTGCCGCTGGATTTGATAATTCTTGTGTAAAGCTGTGGAGCCTGCGATCCAGGAAGTTAAAATCTGAGCCGCATCTTGTAGATGTGTCCCAAATCCGCCTGGCTTGTGATGTTCTGGATGAGGAGGTCTGAGCATCTTTTTTTTTTTTCCTATTAATCCATTTTGGCATGTGTGTAGAATATCTGGTAGCATTTACATAAAAACGATTTTAGTTTAATGTTTCCTCACTGTGGGAAATAGAGGTGGAAATGCCTAAAACAGAAGGAGAGAAAGCAATGTGACTGTAGAAAGCTGGGTGACTTTGGATGTCTTATGAGCTATTGCCATCCTTCTTTCCTCCTGTAGCAGGCAGTCACGAAGTCGGATGTGAGAGCTTTATGTGGACAAAGCCAAGGCAGCCTGATGGTCTTAATCTCCTGCCTCCATTTCTGCTGTTCTTGGCACAGTTATTTGTAGAAAGGGAGCCTGGCACCAGTGAAGGTCCATGAAGGAACACTTTAAGAGTACAAAATAAGGAATAAGACGGCAAACAGGAAAATGAATAGGAAAGAAGTCATGAAGGGAGAGAGGAGTGGAACAGATACAAGCCCAGGGTATGGTATGAAGAGTTGGGTGGAGGCATGTCCTCCTAGTGCCAGGAGGAGCTCGCCCTCCTGCTGGCTGACACCAGCCCGGACATTGTGGGGATTACGGAGACTTGGTGGGACTCCAAGCATGATTAGGCGGTGAATGTTGAGGGCTATAGGCTGTACAGGAGGGATAGGATAGGAGAGAGAGGGGGAGGAGTGGGGCTGTATATCAAGGAGGACTACACGTCCTCGCTAATTAGTAAGGAGTCAGGGGAGAAGCACTCTGAGGTGCTTTGGGTTAGGGTTCAAGGCAGAAGAGGGGAAAGGGACCTATTGGTGGGAGTCTACTATAGACCCCCTACCCAAGCAGAGGAGCTTGACCAGGAATTCTTGGGTCAGCTCACTGAGGTAGTAAAAGCTAGGGATGTGGTAGTCATGG